TTTGAAACATTTTTCCGGAGGAAAATAATTAGATCTTTATCAAAGACATGTAACATGTCTCTAAAACAGACATAAGGCAAAAAATTAAATAAACATCACCTAGTAAAGGCGTAACAAATATTGTCTAGAACAGACCTATGGCAAATAAAGAAAAAGACTTCTGTGTGTGTGTGTGGTCTGTGTGTGTGTGTCTGAGTGTGTTTCTGTGTGTGTGTGTGTGTGTATGACTGACTGACTGACTGACTGACTGACTGACTGACTGACTTCTGGATGTGTCTGTCTTCTGCATGTGTGTGTGTGTTTGTGTCTGTCTGTGCACACATACGCGTGTGTGTGTCTGACTCTGTCTCTCTGTTTGTATATCTTTGTGTGTGTCTCTCTGTTTGTCTGTCTGTCTGTCTGTGTGTGTGTGTGTGTCTGTGTGTGTGTGTGTGTGTGTGTGTGTGTGCGCGTGTGCATGTGTGACTGTGTGTGTGCATGTGTGTGTGTGTGATGTGTGTGTGTGTGTGTGTGTGTGACCGACTTACTGTGTGTGTGTATGTGTGTCTTCTGCATGTGTCTGCTTGTTTGTGTCTGTCTGTGCACACATACGTGTATGTGTGTGTGTGTGTGTGTTTGTGTGTGTGTGTATGTCTGGCCATCTCTGTGTGTATCTCTCTCTCTCTCTCTCTTCTCTCTTCTTCTCTCTCTCTTCTCTTCTCTCTCTCTCTCTCTCTCTCTCTTCTCTTCTCTCTCTCTCTCTCTCTCTCTCTCTCTCTCTCTGTATCTGACTGTGTGTGTGTGCTCTGCAGATTCTGCATCATCAACGCAGGTGTGCTGTACGTGTACTTCAGCAGTTTCCAGCAGGTGGATGAGGAGGAGTATGGAGGAACGTGGGAGCTCACCAAGGAAGGCTTCATGACTTCATTCGCTCTCTTTCTGGTAGAGCTTCCTCTGTCAACTCTGTTAAACAATGCATTGACACAACATCGACTAATTGTTTTAAAGAATACCAGCGTGCGCTAGCAAATTAAACATCATTGTGCACGGATGTTACCGTAGAGTGTTCTGAGCATGAATGTGTGTGTTTGTGTGTTCAGGTGGTCTGGATAATCTTCTACACGGCGCTACACTACGACTGAGGACACACAGCAAACCCACAGAGACAGACGGACGGACACCGAGCTCATGACTGTGCATCTGCCGCTTCTCCAGGCGTCTGTATATGGGTGAGCCTGGAGGAAGAGGTGCATCATGGGAAGACAGACAACGCGTCAGTGACCTCCTGGAAGCCGTCGGGGGGGAGGGATTGAGCGTTTAGCTGATGTTGTCCAGTGCACTGCCATGGCTAATGGGTCAACTACTCTTCTATCCGTTCCTCCTCTCTGCTGCTTCTTGCTGGAATGGCAGGATTTAACTTAATTTCACGTTTGTTTGTTTGTTTGTTTGTTTGTTTGTTTGTTTGTTTGTTTTTCACGATTAGCTTCCACCACAGATCGTCTTACTCTGTTATGAGCAGTTAAATCAGATCAGGAGAGTGTAAATTCTGTACAATTCATTTTATCCAATCCATAATGTATTAAAGTATTTCTTACGTCTGGTCGATGTGCTCCCACACTTCTCAGTATTTTATAGTGTATTGACGGAAATGCGAATGTCCTGTATGCTTGTCATGATTAACACGAGACTGTATTTTCTGGCTGAGATGTTTTGGAGAATAAAAGTAAAACCCGGGCTTTGTCCGCCCCACACTTTTCAACAGGTCTTCTGCTCACATTGAGATGGATTTGTGATTTATTTAATTATTTTCGTCTTTAAAGCTTATCGGGAATTCCTGGAGTATCATGGGAAGTTTAAAAGGTCTTTTTTAGACATTGAAAGTCAGGAAATTATGTTTGTGATTTAAAAATTTTTTACTTTTATTTATGAATGTATGGTTTCCTACACATAATCACACTGACTACATAGACATCAGTATTTTTATTTTTCATAATAGGCCTCCCTGTTAATGTAAAATATATATAGATATATATATATAGATATATATAGATATAGATATATATATAGATATATAGATATATAGATAGATATATAGATAGATATATATAGATATATATAGATATATATATAGATAT